TGAGTTGAAATGCAGGGTAGAAGGAAAAGGAAGCTGTTTTGGGTGTCAGCCATTGCTCCTCTCATATCAGTTATTCTCTCCACTTTGATAGTGTTTGTGTCAAGAGCTGATAGACATGGAGTTAAGATAGTTAAGGATGTAAAAGAAGGGTTGAACCCAATCTCTGTTCATCAGCTGCAATTCAACAGCTCAACTGTTGGCTTAGCTGCCAAATCTGGCCTCATTGCTGCCATCATAGCTCTCACAGTTGAGTTCTTAACCCAACAACAAATGAGCCTCCTAAATGGTCATTGAAGGCTTCATGTAACCTTAATGATATGTTGTGTTTTCTACTCAGGAAGCAATGGCTGTTGGCCGATCCTTCGCCTCCATTAAAGGCTACAACATTGATGGGAACAGGGAGATGATTGCTATGGGCTTCATGAACATTATAGGCTCTCTAACCTCTTGCTATGTAGCTACTGGTCAGTTTCACCTTCTAGCTTTAAAATTTGGACTTTTCTACATAATTCTTGCATCCAAGACTGTCTTATAGGGTAGTTGTGTTTAATATACTCTTAACTAACCCAATATCAATACCCGGAAGACGAACCTATTGTTCTCTTATGAGAATGTGAGATCCCATGTTAGTTGGAGAAGAGACTTCTTTATAAAAGTGTGAAAATTCGAAGTGTTTTAAAAGGTTTGAGAGGAAGTCTGAAAGGAAAAACTCAAATAGGACATGTCTGCCAGCGGTGGACTTAGATTGTTACAATGGTATCAAAGCCAGACACCGAGTGATGTGACAGCGAGAAGGCTGAGTCCCGCAGGGGGTGGGACACGAGGCAGTGTGCCAGTAAGGACGTTGGGCCTCCAAGGAGGGTCGATTAGGGGAGGGGGTCCCACGTTGATGAGAGAAGGGAACGAGTGTCAGCGAGAACGTTGGGCCCTGAAAGAATTGTAAGATTTCACATCGGTTGAGGAAGAGAAGGAAACATTCTTTATAAAGGTGTGGAGACCTCCCCATAACAGACGCGTTTTAAAAACTACTAGATACAAATTCAAGATGTTTTTGTACGTTTTCTCTCTATATTTGAGGCACACGGGGGTCGATTATGTCTCGGGAAATCTTTACTTACAAGTTGTTTGTTGTATGTTATGAACTTTTTCAGGGTCATTCTCAAGAACGGCTGTGAATTTTAGTGCTGGGTGTGAGAGTGTATTGTCAAATATAGTGATGGCAATAACAGTGATGCTGGCATTGCAATTCTTCACAAGGCTCCTCTACTTCACTCCAATGGCCATTTTGGCTTCCATCATTCTCTCTGCTCTCCCTGGTCTTATTGACATCAATGAAGCTCTGCGCATCTGGAAGCTCGACAAGCTTGACTTTCTTGCCTGTCTTGGCGCTTTCCTCGGTGTCTTGTTTCATTCCGTGGAATTTGGCCTTCTTCTTGCGGTAATCTCTTTCTCTTTCTTTCTCTCTCCCACTCAACCAAACCGACTAATCCACCCACTCGTTCGGTTCCAATTATATTCAAAACTGACGAACCCACTAGCTCGATTTCAATTATATTTGAAACTGACGAACCCACTAGTTTGGTTCCAATTATATTCGAAACCAACGAACCCACTAGCTAGTTCGGTTCTAGTTATTCGAAATCAACGAACCCACTAGTTCGGTTTCAGTTATATTCAAAACCAACGAACCCACTAGTTCAGTTCTTGTTATATTTGATTTGTTTAAGCCTCGTTTGAATAAGTTTCACCAACAAGAAGTTTTTCGTTTAGTTTAAATATTATGAGCTAAATCGAAACTGAACCAAACCATGAAATATTATGTATTGGGTTCGGGTAAAAGTCAAATGGAAGTAAAGGAAAGTCAAAGGGCGAAAATGTCTTTTCATATAAGGTGGAAGTGGATAAAATGATTGAATCAAGTTGCAAACTTTAAGAGGAATAGATTGAGACATGAGAACAAGTTGTGTGTTAAAAAAGGACAAAATGCATAGGTCAAGCAAGCCAAGTTGTATAATTTAGTACTTTTGCTGTCTGTTTTGGCACATTTAATCATGGACCGTTTGTCTTGTTACTGGTGGGCGGTTCCTTGTCTACTCAAAATATTGAGATTATATTCATTTTATTAGTTTACAATTAGGAGTTTTTTTTTTTTTTTTTTTTTTTTTTTTTTTTTTTTTTCAA